CTGCTCTGAAGTGGATCTCCGCAGAAAAAAATTTATCCTACAGATACATTTGCTTCACTGAAGTTCATGCATTACTGCTCACCTTATTGTTTCATCTATTAATTTCTTTAACGCTTTTGGTTCTTTGGTACACAGGCCACATTTGCATGTTTTGCATCTGCAGCAAGTACGATCCTTGTGCATGATGCAGTACAAATATTAACAGGTTTTTCCAGTGTCTATCTGTGGTAGCAGAATAATCAGCACCTGTTTAATTGGTTATGGCAATATACTTGGTTTGACAGGATCTTAACAGTTCTTTGCTGGCTGATCTGAATTACAAGTATAATGGTGCATTAAACCTAGCATCATCTTTTTGCAAAGGCTTGTTAACAAGTCAAAGTCTTGCATAAGTTGAAGTTCCTTACTGTGGATTTTAGCTAGTTTATTCCTTGTTCTGAAAAGTATTGCCTTAAGTAATGCTTTCGTCAGATTAATATTTTTATGTGTTTTTTAGGTCATACATGAAACCAAGCTTAGGCAAATATACACAGCAGAAGAAAAATACACTATTAAAATATCTGCTTATACAAACCGATCCGTCTCTACTAACACATCCCTGAAGACAGCACAGTTTCTCACTAGTTCGGTTGATACAGATGAAAGAAGACAACTGGAAAACCAGCAACAGGTAGGAGTTTATTTCTGTGCTGTGTACCATATGAATTGCTACCCACTTTATCATGCAATAGGCATAGCTTACTTGCATGTGTTAGTAGGATGTTTGTAGTAGGAATGCTAGTGGTGTGTGTTCTTTTATTTCAGGACATCAGTAACACATTAAAGTCACTGGATGTGCGTTTGACTACATTGTTTGAGAGACAGAAACATCTGGAACGCAGAGACAATGAGCTCAGACAACGGAAAAAGGAGCTTTTAGAGAGAGGAAACAGGAGGAGACAGCTGGAATCAAAAATTGGTGTGAAGTATGATAGGTAGGAAACAAGCTATATTATCTATGAAAATGAACAATTTTAGTAACAAAGGTGTTTTGGCTTCCTCTTACTGCAGTCTACTTTTACCTTCACAAAGTAACCAGTAGTTGAGCACCAGATACAAGTCATAATCAAGACAAAGAAGGTGTTTAGACATAGAGATTAAGACAGTATTTGAGAAGCCATGTAACAATGTTCCAAATGGTTTCCTGTAATAAAATCATAAGATTCCAGTGAGAGACCATTTCACTTGTTTACTCAAATATTACCATGGTCTTCTGTCTTGTAGCACATATCTAGATAATACCATGATGTACATAAATGGTACTAAGTAAGTCTGTCAGGGATCCTGATGTCCACAGTATTTGTCTTAACCTATTTTCTGGTTTTGTAGGGCTCTGCAATTAGTTATTCTCTTGCTGCTTTGTCATAAGGGAGAACCTGGGCATGGTTCAAGAGGTATTTCGCTTATGCTCACAATCCCGGAAGGCAATGTAGATGAGACTGCCCGAGGCTTCACTCTCTCCACTCCTGTAACAGTCCCAGCAGACCTTATACCCTCAAATACTCCTATATGTTCTTGTGCCACACGACTTTTCAGTTTTCTGAAAGTTGGTGCTGGTGCTTGTGTGCACAGCTCTTGTGTTAGTTACAGTGCATTAAACTGAAAAGAAAGTGTTGAGAGGCAAAAAAAGAAAAGAAGAAAAGAGAAAAGAAAAGAGAAAGGAGAAGAGAAAAGAGAAAGGAGAAAAGAAAAGAGAAAGGAGAAAAGGAAAGAAAAGGGGAAAAAAAAGGAAAACGGAAGGAAAAAACAGGGCTTCAGGGATGTTGGAGGAACCAGGATCAACTGCTATATAGTCACAAGTGTCCAGGTTGTTGTGAAAAGAAGGAGCTGTGTGCATGTGAGCTTAGCATCAAAGCCAAGTATTGCTGTCAGTTTTTTTATTAGGGATACAATTATTGTCAGGGTGTTTTACTAGAATGCAGAATTTGGTTTAAAGGCAGGAACTGGACCCTTTTCCTAAATAAATATTGCTTAAATCCTTCCCTTTGGAAAAGTAATTACGCTCTTCTGATTTTGAATAGGGCTGAGAATCCTGGCACAATTACAGACGAGGCCATTACAAATTTTCTTGTATAATGTAGATGTCTTTCTATAGAGATAGAAATTATTTAAATAATCCTTGCAGTTTTCAAATATTCCCGAATCTAATTGATATGAGTATCTGAATAAAGCTGGATATAATTTTGAAAGTAGTATACAATGAGAGGATCACTTAGGTTGGAAGGGACTTTGTGTTCTGTAGTCCAGCCATGTTCTCAAAGCAAGGTCAATCCTGAATTCAGACCAGGTTTTCAGGGCTGTATCCCCCTGCATCTTGAAAGTCTCCATGGTGATCGCACGACCTGTTTGGACATCCTGTTCCACTGCTCGACTGTCCTTATGCAGAAAATGTTTCTACTGACATTTAGTCTGGATCTTTGTTTCAACTTACCCACTGTCTGTCATCCTTCTACTATACACCTCTTATAAGAGCCTGGTTCTGTCCTGTCAGTGGCTTCCTTGTAGGAAGGATACTGGAGGGGTGCTATTAGGTGCCCCAAAGCTGTCTCTTTTCTAGGGTGAACAAGCTGAGCACCTGCATCCTGTCCTCACAGGGCCTGTGCTGTAGCCCCCGATTATCTTGGTTGCTTTCCAAGTTTGTTCCAGTTTGTTGATGTTTGGGGCAGGGGGCAAAACTGGGTGCAGTGCTCAACAGAGAGGAAAAATCACTCTCCTCCTCCCTGTGCTTCCATTCATACAGCCAAGGATGCTGGGGGATCTTGTTGCTGCCAGGGTGCGCTGCTGGTTTATGCTCAGCTCATTATGCGCCAGTACCTGAAGAGCCTCTCTACAGCCAGTCTGTCCTGAGCCTGTATCACTACCAGACCCACTTCTCCCCAGGGGCAGGACTCAGTATTTGTCCTTGGTGGATCTCATGAGCCTTCTGTCGACCCCTTCCTCCAGCCTCAGCGGACCCTCTCTGAATGGCAGGCCTGTTGCTCCCCTCAGTTTAGTGTCGTCCGAAAACTTGATGAGAGTGCCCTCTGTGTGGTCCTCTGCGTCACTGGCAGGGATGTTAGACAGGACAGGTCCCAGGACTCGCACCGTGCTCGCAGGCTCTCATCCTGCTGAGGGACTTTAACCACCCCAACATCTGGAAAAGTAGCACGGTGAGCTGTAGACAATCTAGGAGACTCCTGGATTGCATTGAGGATAACTTCTTAGGCCGTGTAATAGACAGCTCTACCAGAGGGGATGCGTTACTGGACCTGTTGGTCTCCAACGCAAGTGAGCTAATCAAAGACGTCAAGATTGGAGGCAGCCTGGGCTGCAGTGATCAGGCACTGGTGGAGTTCGTAGTCCTAAGATATTGGACAAGCAAAGAGTAAAGAGTAAAAGTCAGGACCCTGAATTGTAGGAAGCCAAAATTCCAACTATTCAAGGAATTAGTCAATAGGACTCCCTGGGAAACTGCCCTCAGGGACAAAGGAGCAGAACAGAGCTGGCAGATCTTTAAGGATGCTTTCCATAGAGCACAAGAGCTCTTGATGCCCATGTGTAAGAAATCAAGAAAGGAAGGCAAGAGACTAGCATGGCTGAATCAAGACCTGTTGGTCAAACTAAAGGGCAAGAAGGAAGTGCACAGGCAGTGGAAGCAGGATCAGGTGTCCTGGGAAGAGTATAGGGACACTCCCTGGCTGTGTGGGGATGGGGTCAGGAAGGCCAAGGCATGTCTGGAGCTGAACTTGGCGAGGGATGCCAAGAATAGTAAGAAGGGCTTCTACAGGTATGTCAGCTAGAAAAGGAAGATCAAATAAGTGTACTCTCCCTGATGAGCAAGACTGGCAAACTGGTAACAATGGATGGGGAGAAGTCTGAGGTACTCAGCAACTTTTTTGCCTCAGTCTTCACTGGCAACCACGCCTCCCACACTTCTTGAGTGAATGGGCTGCCAGGCAGGGACTGGGGAAGCAAAGTCCTTCCCACTGTAAGAGAAGATCAGGTTCATGACCACCTGAGGAACTTGAACATACCTAAGTCTATGGGACCCAAAAGGATGCATCCCGGAGTCCTGAGGGGATTGGCTGATGTAGTTGCCATGCCACTCTGCATAATATTTGAAAAGCTATGACAGTCAAGTGAAGTCCCCTGTGACTGGAAAAAGGGAAACATTGGATCCATATTTAAACAGCATAGAAAGGAGGACCCTGGGAACGACCGACGTGTCAGCCTCACCTCTGTGCCTGGGAAGATGATGGAGCAGATCTTCCTAGAAGATATATTAAGGCACATGGAGGACAGGGAAGTGATTCAAGACAGCCGGCATGGTTTCACCAATGATAAGTTCTGCCCAACCAACCTAGCAGACTTCTATGACAGATTGACTACATCAGTGGACAAGGGAACAGCTACAGATTATGTCATCTGTCTGGACTTCTGTAAGGCCTTTGACACAGTCCCCCACAACATCCTTCTCTCTAAATTGGAGAGATATGGATTTAATGGGTGGACTGTTCAGTGGATGAGGAATGGGTTGGATGGTTGCATCCAGAGGGTAGTGGTCAACAGCTTAATGTCTAGATGGAGATCAGTGATGAGTGGTGTCCCTCAGGGGTCTGTATTGGGACCAGTGCTGTTTAATATTTTCATCAATGACATAGACAGTGGGATCACGTGTACACTCAGCAAGTTTGCTGACAATACCAAGCTGAGTGGTGCCGTTGGCACACCTGAGGGATGGGATGCCACCCAGAGGGACCTAGACAAGCTCAAAAAGTGGGACCATGTGAACCTCATGAAGTTCAACAAGGTCAAGTGCAAGGTCCTGCACCTGGCTTGACGCAATCGCTGGTATTAATAAAGGCTAGGAGATGATGGGATTGAGAGCAGCCCTGTGGAGAGGATTTGTGAGTGCTGGTGGATGAAAAGCTGGACACTAGCTGGCAATGTGCGCTGGCAGCCCAGAAAGCCCACTGTATCCTGGGCTGCATCAAAATACGCGTGGCCAGCAGGCTGAGGGAGGTGATTCTGCCCCTCTACTCTGCTCTCGTGAGACCCCACCTGGAGTGCTGTGTAGATATAAGGAAGAAATTTTTTACAACAAAGGTGGTGAAACACTGGAACAGGTTGCCTAGAGAAATGGTAGATGCCCCATCCCTGAAAACATTCAAGGTCAGGTTGGATGGGGTCTGAGCAATCTGGTCTAGTTGAATATGTCTCTGCTTATTGCGGTGAGGTTGGGCTAGATGACCTTTAAAGGTACATTCCAACACAAACTATTCCATGATTCTAAGAGAGTGTGCCAGCTGGGCATGGCTGGACAAGTGTATTGACTAGCCATTTACATGTAACTGTCCCTTTTATCCCCATATCAGTCTGTTTTCCCACGCTTGTTCCTCTCCAAGTCATCTACATCTCTCCTTTTCCCCACGTTTGGTTTCTCCCCTGAATATCCAATAGTAAGTCCTGTGCAGTCCCAAAATGCTTTTCTGCTGCATCCCGTAACGTCTCATATATGTCCAGGAGACAGCCCCCCTCAGTCCAGAGGGTACTGTGGTTTTGACTTACCGTGCTGGGTTTCATACCTGGACACTGGTGCTGAGGCTGTACTGGGACAGGATGTCCCTTCCTCTGCGCCCTTAATTTGGTTTCCCACCTGCTGGGTGGTCCCTGTGTTCCTCTAGGCTTGTGGAGATGGGGATTTCATGGGTTGATGACTCCTGAGATGAGCCTGGGGGTAGCCAGGGTAGGGTATTATTTGGGCTTCCCCCACCTGCTATTACCTCTCCTTTTTGGGTGTGCAGGTAAACTTGCATCAGATCACCTAACAGAAAGCCTTGCTGAAATTGAGGTAGATGACAGTCACTCGATCTCCTGTCATCCAGCAGGTTTACAGTTGGGTTCATCAGGTATGATGGACCCTTGATAAATGCGTGCTGGCTCTTCCTGATCACCTTCTCCCTTATAGCCCTAGAATTGTTGTCCGAGAGGACTTGCTCCAGAATTTTGCCAGGGATCAAAATGAGAATGATTGGTTTGTAGTTTCCTGGATCATCCTCTTGGTGTGTTTGGCTGGTTTTGCAGATCTCCAAATGCTTTGCAGCTCACAAAGCGTCATGATTATTTCATGTGAAGTTCTTCCTAATTATGTGTTTTTGAGGTTTAAAATGAGTGAAAGTTCTGGTTTTCTGCAGTAAGGTGAGGACACAAATTTTTTTACTAGTATGTATGACAAGAATTAAACAAATCTCCTGAACTCTCCTATGTTGTATTGTTGCAAGGAACTAGCGGCAGAAGAAAAATGTCATCCTTACACTGTTTTGTTTTCTATTGTTTTGTTTTGTTTTGAATCTGAAATTTACAGATGTAACGGAGTATGGTTGCTAAGTGATGCCCTTAGTAGCCAAAATCAGAGTTTCTTTAATTATAAATTTTTTGTCTTTTGAATTTCCTGGATTTGAAGTGCATAGATTGGGAATGCCTCTAATATGTTTGGAATGTTTAAGTATGCAAATTCCTATTCTTGCTATCTGTTAGTTCATCACCAAGATTAAGAATTCTTGCATTTTTGTACAATTTATTTTTAATCAGGATTAATCAAATATTGTTTCCTCCCATAGTTTAAGACAGTTGGAACAAGATGCTATCAACCTAGAGGATGAATCTCAACAGGCAAATGTAAAGATCAAAGAAATAAATGTCCAAAAAGCAAGACTTGTTACTGAATTAACGCATTTCATAAAGGTATGCATTTTTAACTTGGTATCTGTTCCACTTTTGTGAAAAGTTCAGTTCTTGTAACTTAAGTAGGAGGTATGCAACATTTGGATGTGTTGCTGTAAATGTTTATGAGCTAACTTGCTTCAAGATAAACATCTTCTGAAGCTTTTATGAGCTTTAACTTGTTCATCTGCCGTGGATTCAATTTGTAGATTGTTTGCTTGCGTTGATTTAGCTCTCAGTGACTGAAGTCCATGGTCTGATTCAGTAAATACAGGAATGAACTAGGAATGAACTGTGTAACCATTTCAGCCTGTATATTTTCAGAACACTGCATAATTCTGTGAACTGTTCCTCCAGACTAGTTCATCAGCTCTTTTTTTTTTTTTTATTTTTGTTGAAAAAGAGTAGTCGTTAGTCATGTGAAAAATTGACCCGAGTCTGTAAGGATCCATGATTGTGGAAGAGGGCTGGGAGTGTCTTTTTTACCCAGGATAGGAAAAGGAATTTGACACATACTGTGTATTTCTCAGTATACCAGGGGTGTAGGAGAGGATGGATGGTGTTTGCCCGAGATAGTCATTGATTACAAAAGGAATTTATTTCGGTTGTATATCAGCTTAATTTTCACACTTGTGTGCTGTAGGAAAGATACGGTAGTACATACTGAAGAAAATAGTCTGACACAAGAGAGATGTCTTATTATATGTTTTGTCAAAATTGTTGAAATTCATACATTTCTGGTTGTCCCCAAACCAAACTTCATGAATGCCTTGTACTTACTTCAGTAGGTTTTGCAGTTGTGATAACTTTTAGGTAGTCGTATGTTTCCGGCATCCTCACATCTGCCACAGAAGGAAATTTAAAACCTGTGTGGGATTTTTGTGTGTTTGCATGGTGGCAATATGATCCACTTTTTTAAGAGTTCTGATGCTTGTGTGGAATAGTCAGCTAGAGTGGCAGGCTGCATTTACATTTACACAGACGACACAAGCCAGAGTGTACCTGTCGTGTACCTAATACATGTCAATACTTTACATCAGCTGACAGAAACAGCCGTGTTCCACTGTTTCAGATTCTGGCACTGCTTTTGCATGTAGTTCTCGTTGTGCTATTGTCTTTGAATAATCTGGACTTTTTTCATTTTTCATATCCTTTCATTAAAACTTTTTTTTTTTCAGTTTACTTCTCTGGTAATTGGTTTTAAACTGTTTAAATGAATTGGAAATGAATAAACTTATTCCTATGTCCAAATTCACACTGTAGAAACTTTGTGTTGAAATGGCACATAGTAAAGATCGCAGACCTTGGCTTACTGTTGTGATCAGAAGCAAACACTCTAAAAGCTTCATCCTGCAGGTCCCCTAGGTGTACAGTTAGGAACCTTGCCCTTCCTTTCATTAAGAGAATGGATTCCTTTGTATTTATATGCCAATCATAAAAAAAATAAATATAGGTAAACTGCTGTTCTCAATGCCCCATAATTCAAGGTCTGAAGCTACCCTTCGCACAGTCAAGAATATATTGCTGATTTTGAAGCCTCTAGACCATTCGTGAGGCTGACTCGTTTAAAGAAGCAACCATTTTGATGTCAAAGTTGTCAAACCAGGTTCTGGGCGTCACTAAAACCTGTTATGCAACTTCAAAAATAGAGCCTCCTTCTGTTGCCATGTGCTGTCCAGTTAAGACATCCAGTCAGTCGTGTTGCATTGTCAGTGAGAGAGGCATATATCTTACGTGGGGGTTTTTTGACCTTTTTCCATCTCTGTATGTGACTTACAAAGTCCACCAAAATCTCCCTGTTGGATTCTGTCTCTTAGAAAGAATTTAGATGGCTTTGTCTTTTCTCACATTTCACATGTGAGTATGTGGCGTAAGGAAAGCGAATGGGCTTTTTTGGTGTAAAATGGTTTGGCTGCAAGTGATGTGTATATACTAACAGATTAAAAGTATATGAGAACTATATTAAAGAGCTTGGGTCACCAGTAAGTCACCTTTCTTTTTCTTTTTCATTGAGTTTGACAGACAGCCGAACACAGTGTGAGATTGTATGCTCTGACTGAAATTGGATAGTTTCTAAAGCCCGATAGGGATTGTATCGGTTTTGAGTCTCTTGTGGAAAAAAATGACATTTTTTGTTTTCCTATGTAGGATTGCATATCACTGAACATCCTCAAAGCAGATTTGGTTCTTCAGAGCACTACAGTGGTGGCTGAGAAGATGAGACTAGAATCAGAGTATAAAGCAGCAAGTGCACAGCTAAGAGCTGCAGAGGTAACCTTTTCTGTGGGTACTGGGATATCTACTAGGCTTCTGTGGAAGCTGTTACGATGTAGAAAAGAACGCTTTTGTGTCTTTGTTTAGAAATGGTTATTAGTACAGCTAAATATTGAGCCTTGATTTCTGTAGTTTGACTTCAGCCTCTTCATTTAAAGCTGTATAGGAGCTTTGCCTTCCTCAACTAAGACAGCTAAGCTTCTATGAAAATATGCTGAACAGTCATCACGTCCTGGATCTTTTTATTATAATGCATAGTGTGTGTAAAATGCTACCTGTTACTTGGAAGTATTATTTTTCTTCCAAGTCTGTCATAGAATCATAGAATGGTTTGGGTTGGAAGGGACCTCAAAGATTATCTAGTTCCAACCTCCCTACCATGGGCAGGGACACCCTTCACTACACCAGGTTGCCCAAAGCCTCATCCAACCTGGCCTTGAACACTTCCAGGGATGGGGCATCCACAACTTCTCTGGGCAACCTGTTGCACTGCCTCACCACCCTCTGAGTGAAAAATTTCTTCCTTATATCTAATCTAAATCTCCCCTCTTTCAGTTTAAAGCCATTGCCCCTTGTCTTGTCACTACACGCCCTTGTAAAAAGTCCCTCTCCAGCTTTCCTGTAGGCCCCCTTTAAGTACTGGAAAGCTGCTATAAGATCACCCTAGAGCCTCCTCTTCTCCAGGCTGAACAGCCCCAACTCTCTCAGCCTGTCTTCATAGCAGAGGTGCTCCAGCCCTCGGATCGTCTTCATGGCCCTCCTCTGGACTTGCTCCAGCAGCTCCATGTCCTTGTGCTGGGGACTCCAGAGCTGAACGCGGTATTGCAGGTGGGGTCTCTCAAGAGCAGAGTAGAGGGGCAGAATCATAGACAAGTAGCCCCAAGATGCAAGCTCAAGATGAAGCAGAAAGTACTGTATCAGAGTAGAACAGAGCTGGTTTACCTTTCTTTCATAGCCTAGTTTCTTATACTGTAATTAAATGCCTTTTAGGAGGACAGAAAGGAGGGTAAATGGTCCTTCTATTTATCATATTAGAAAGCTATGCTGTATTCCAGTAAAAAGACAGTCTCTGAGGAACTAGTTCCACAGACAAGTACTCTTTCTAAGAGCAGAGGATGCTGTGATCTCTCATGGATTAGTGCATAGAAGTCAATTTTTGTATTCGTGTAGTAGTACAATCTATCAGTGTACTAAGGAAAAAACTGTCAAAGTACAGGATGTTAAGTTTCCTTATCTTGCAAGAGTCAGGTTAACTATAACCTACTGCTAATTCAATTTGATAAAAAAATGCTGGTAAATTGGAATGCAGTTCAAAAGGTCAGTGATAGTTATTTTGGATGGATGTGCACTTCCAAAAAGAATGATCTTGGCATTTATTTAGCAAACCACTTGAAGTTAAAGGTATCGTCACTTGCAGGAAAATTAGGAAGAGGAGAACTTCCGAAGAGGAGCAAAAAGTAACTCGAAGACTGAGACAAGTCCACCGTGTTACTTGGAAAATCACTGTTGCGTCAGTTCTCTCACATGATGCAGCTGTTATTCAGACTTTATCAAACTCCAATGCAAATTGCTTCATTGCTGAAGCTCAGTGAGGAGTAAGGACGTATTACAAAGCTATGAACCTAATGAGTAGCGTGTATCGTCACTGGGAAATTTATTTAACATTTTTAGTTCTTTCTGTCCTCGTCTTCTTCGTCGTTTAGAGAGTAGCTTGGGCTGGTGCAGAGGTAGATACTGGTCAGATTAGTAGACAGGAATTGTAAGATAAACGTTCTAATAATTCTTGGTTGAACAAAAATAGCCTCCTTCCCTAGGTAAGAGGTGTTGAGTCAGCTGAGGTCCCATTAGTTGTCGTTACTGGGTTACATTCAACGACATAAGTGGAGGAAATCATATCAGAGCTTATGTTCTGCATGGCTGGTTCTAGGAACAGTAAACCAGAAAACAACCTCTAAAACCAGTAATCTCACTGATTAGAATTTCGAGAAGTTTAACTTCTCTGGAGGGAAACTCTTCTGAGTATTCAAGTGCATCTTAAGTTTTCACGTGTATGGAAGTCCAAGTCTATGCTTCCCCATGTACTGCATGTTCAGTCTATGAGTTAAGCCTTTAGCCCCTCTTTTTAGAAGTTCTCTTTCCTGCATTGCCCTGTGAATGATGCATGTTGTACACTCTGTGTTTTACTTCTAATTTAAGATGCACTTTCATGGGCAAAACTCAGTATTCCTTATCTTCATCTCAAATTGTTGTTTAAATTGGCCCTTCCCTCCAGCTTCTTAGTGGCTTTAGCTGAGATGATTTTTTTTCTACAGCAGTACTGTGTTAAGGTAGTCTTGCTCCAAAGCTGCCCATAAGGATGCCATTACAACACTTCTTGGGAACTGTTTGCAAGAATTACTCATGTTTTTACAAAATAAGTAAACCTGCAAACAGAAATAGGAATAATTATGTTGCACAAAAGCTGCATAGTGAACTAAGTCGGAGTCTAAACATTACAATTGTGGGACCATTCATTCTCTATTTAATCATCAGATGTTTTTGTAGGTCATGTGCTGGTCGTGATGCATTCATTGAAATTGGAATGGGGGGTGTCAGTCAAAGAGACTGAAACTTTAATACTTAGTGCTTACTCATAATGTTTATCTCCCAAGCAATCTTGAGTCTTTATAATACCTGAATAAATATCTGATTAAGATTTTAAGCAAACACAAACCCAACTCGGTACATCTAAGAGAAGAACACATATGTTCCTTTGTGAGGTCTTGGCACTGGGATACTGTGGAGAGAGCAGCATGTTTGTTGCTTTATGGTGGATTTTTTTCACTGCTTAGGTGGAAAGGCCAAAAAGTACATGTTTTTGAGTAAGTCAAGTTAGCGACAACAGATTTCTGGGGTTTGTATTTTGTCATTGCAGTTCAAGTGGGAGCCTTAGTGTTATTTTAACAACTCCTTGTTTATAATTTATTTAATGAACCTGAGAAGCAAATCTGTGTTTGTGACCCATACTGAACATTACAGAGGATTGTTAGCCCCATCTGCTCATTAGATAATTGGCACAGTTGCCTGCATGTTTGTGATGGTTGTTTGAAAGAGTCTTGCTAATTGTCGTGCTTTGATAGCGTGTTAATTTTCAGGTTCATTTGGTGTAAATTCGTTTAAATAATTGGTATTGATACTAAGTATGTATATCGCAGCATTTGCTCCTTAAGCCAAAGTTTTAAGAAATGCAGATTCTGTTTTTTCTATGTATTAATTTCCAAGCTTGTAATAATTTAATGCTGTCACCAAGCAAGCGTTCAAACACAAATTTATGAAAAAACATTGGCTACTGGTCACTATATTTTCTTTAACCAGCTTCTTGTTTTGCACAAAACCGGTTTCAGTACTGGTGAATGCAACAGAATACAAATTGTCTGTGCATACAGAATGTAAGTGGTTTCTGCTGTTTGGTAGATGCCTTTTGGGAGGCTGTAATCACAGCCCAACAATAGCACAGAACTTTCCTGAAGTACCTGCATAAAGCTCTTTCCAAGTTGATTCTTATGCTCTTGGCTGAAACAAGTGTAAAGCTCTGTCTGGGCTATGATTTTTCATGGTGGCATCTCTGCTCAAAATCGTAGTTCTTTCTCCTTAAAAGTTATTTTTTTATTTAGATAGTTTTATTGAGGCACCTTCAGAAAATCAACAGGAATCTTAACATTACCGTGCACTTCTGAATAAATAGGAGGGAGAAGGAATCAAAACTTGTGTATTTTTACTTACCTATATTTATCTAACTTTTATTAGGTGTGAGGCCGTGACAATCAACTGGCAAAGCTAAATGAAAATTGAGACTTACCTTGTTGAACTGTCAGTGCGTTTATTCTAGTACGTGCTTCGTAACCACATCAAATGTCTATTACTGCCCAGTTGTCCTGTTGAATGCTGAGGTTTTCCTCTGCCCAAACATTTATTTTCCTTTCCACACCCTAAATAATTTTATTTGCCTTAGGCCTGGGTCAGGCATATATTCAGAGTTGAATCTATTTCAGATTTTCAGTGCCTAGAAGTCTGCTCAAAATCTTGTGTCATGCAGCTCTGCAGGGTTTCAAGTGGGAGCTTTATGTACAATTGAGAGCTGAGATTCCACGGTTCAGATGATTCAGAATTGACTTTGGCTCTGGAAATGATCCAACACTGTGATGGATCAACAAAGTTGATGTTTCTTGTATAAGAAAGTATGGCTGTTTTGCCTTTCACTGGGTCCTTTGCCTTCATTATCATAAGGTCAAACGTATTTCAGATGAAGACAGTTGGCTTTTAAATTTCTGGGATCCAAAATACCGTCCAGTTTTAATTTAGAATTTTTAAAGATGTTCCTAAAAATTGTTTATTTAATGTGTTACAGGGCATATGCAGATATGTAATGGCACGTAAGCGTTGTGGTGTATGGTTTTATTTGTGCTTATTCAGAATGACATAAAATCTTGGCTGTAACCAAAAGGAGGAGCATCCTTCACTTATTGCTGTTTTATCTGTATAGATCCTTCTTGCTCCTATGTGACATCTTCCTCCTCTACAGTAGACTTTATGAAGTGGATCAGGTGGTGTGGGAATCTAAAAAAGGCCTTTTTAAAAAAAAAAAATCTTTCTGAAAACATCAACACAGTGTAGAAAAAAATGTTCACAGTGTGCCTGTGAAGACTGTGAAATGCTTACCTCTAATGCAAAATCTGTTTCTTAGTGCTTGGTGGAGGGGAGGAAAAACAGGAAATTTGAGTTGATACATGCTGTAGAGAAGAGCAGCCCTAATTCTTGAGTGTGAGAACTCCATTGATGATCACTCATGATCCTATCTGTTACTACTGCTTCTGTTGTATTTAGTAAATAAAGATTAATCAATTTGCCAGAAAGTAATGTGAGTTGCTATCAGTGTCTGTCCTGTATTTTTAAAATGTGGAATAAACATTTATCTAACTGTATAATCCCCAAATGAACACTTTGGCATTTTTTTGCCACTGGAGGGCTCCCATATTTAACTGAAGTACACAACAATAAAAATTGGGAAGATAAAGCTCTTATAAGTGTAGGAACATAACTAAACTTTCCAAACTGTCAGAAGGAAGTTCTGAAGCAAAACTCTGTGCGTATGGATTTTGAGTTAGAATTTTGTGCCTCTGAAAAAAGTGGAAACTGTATTCCTGTGGTGTAACTGTCTGTTAAAAATTGCATGTGTAATCACTGAGTAAATGTGTAGTAAAATAACTTAGATTAAAATCTCCAGTATCTTGGTAGGTACTCCCTTTCACTTCTAAGTGGTTGGCATCTCCTAGCTATCTACGTTTGGGTGCTCACTGGAGCTGGGAGATGGCAGCAGGCAGTTACTCCCAAGCACTGCCAGCTCAGCATTTGGAAGCAGCAGACCTGTGGTAGGGACTGCAAGTATAAACATGAGTGAGATTTCTGGGGGCAGAGGGGAAGAGATACTTAAAGGCTTTCCAAGATTTTTGCCTAAATGCTGCTTTTTTGAGAAATCTTTAGCTTAGTGTTTCATGAAAGTATCATATTTTGTGTATTGTATTTTAACTCCTGTTGTGGTAACATTGCATTATAAAAGTCATAGGGCTAGGCTGGCTACTTACCTGTAGTAGGTTCCAAAGAGTTTAGCTTTGAGACCACTGTTCAAAACTAGAAGCTGTCTCTGGTTTTCGCATCTTTTTCAGCACTAGTTTAAAAATTGTGTGCTTCTGTTTTGTATTTTGCTGGCTGTATCAGAGAGGTAGAATATGAAACAGCAAAGGAAGTACTTCTGTTTTTGTAATTGTGATGTTTACTCTGTAAAATTTCAGGTAAAATACCATTCAGTGCACGTCGTGTCCACCGATAAATACAGTTAAATGGGAGCTAATAAAAAATAAGGCTCACGGTAGCTGTGCTTTGGCTTATAGGGAATTTCCTGTAAAATAGTCTATTTTGAGACATATATTGACTCTACATGCGCACTTGTCAGTTAAGAAGAAATAAATTTAGCTATGTTACAAGAACATGCTTTTGATCGGTTTACCTTGGCCTCTGGTGGCTTCAAGCAGAGAAGCAAAATGAGTTCTGTGTATTGAAACAAAGATTTTTTTCGATCTTTAAGCAGTGTCATTTCACCTGCGTTCTCTGATTTGGGTGGTTTTTGTTGCCAGTGTGCGAGTGTCACCTCTGGAAATTTATAATAAAGTTAAAATAAAAGTGTGTTTTAATATCTTTAATATCTTTTCTAACAGCAACAATTTCATGAACTGGATGATAGGAAGCGAGTTCTTACAGAGAACTGCAAAGAATTGCTGAAAAAAGCTCGACAGGTCTGCAAACTGAGTCCGGATCAACATCTTCCAAAAGAATTTCAAACTGTATGTACAATACCAAATGTCTGCATACCTCTTAAATTTTGAATGATGTACACTATTCTGACTTCTCCAGCAAAGAATGTTATATATTTTATATCAGAAGGCTACCAGTAAAGGATTTTGTGTACTTCTCTTAGTGTTGACTCATACATTGTCACTTATCATTTCAAAGCACCTTTAAATAGTGCTGGGGTATCCTCTGCCTATCACTTTGTTTTGTACGTAAGGGAGAGAAAATTTGATCTGAAATTTCAATTAAAATCCATAGTCTTGGGTTCATAGAAATAATTAGAGCCATGTTTTTCTATCTTCTTGCTCTAATGGAGCAACACAAAAGAACTGCAATCTAGGCCCACCTGCTTACCTGGAGGTCTTCCCAGCCTCTGGAAGTATTTGCATGGCTTAAGTAGCATAGCCCCTGGCTTATACTGAATCTGTGAGCATTGGTACCTGCACAAGGTAGGCAACTAAGGAGCAATGAATTGTGTGTCTTTGTTATGTGATAGCACTTGTAACCTTCTTTCTCTGTCCAGGATAGATTGTGAGAGACTCTTGCTGTGTTGAATTTTTAATATATGACATCCCAATTAAAAGTAATAGAATATTTTCTGGTTAATTCGATTTCTTTTTAGCGAACTTGAGTCCTTCATTAGCATTGCTGTGTAACACATATATCCCTTCTCTTGCAGGCTTTTCAGACTCTTCCAGCCACGTTGGAGGAAATAGATGCTTTTCTGAATGAAGAGAGAAATAGAGCCTCCTGTTTTACAGGCCTGAGTGCTTCGGTATGTTCACTGCTTTCCCTCCGCCCTCCCTTCCTCCTCCTCCACCCGTATTGTACTTGCTTCCCACTCTGTGCTAGATCTCTGGGTATAATAAGCTAGACAGCAGGAACAATGTGCTGTAAATGCCAGATTCTGCATCTATTAGAATCTTAAGTAGGTTCTTCCAAAAGAACAGTGTGTTCTGTGCCTTTTTTAAAAAAAAAAAAGTTGCAGTAACCTGAAATAAGCAATGCTTTACAGTTTCTTTGCTTTAAAGCTAGAAATGTATCATGTTCAGTGCAATAGTCTATATAGTTGTGTTTAAACGGAATCAGTGCAGTGTGATATTTTTACAGTAATGGTTAGAATTGGCAAACATTGTGTTGACTGCTTGTTTTTTTTATTCTGACAGGTTGTCGAAGAATACCGTAAGCAGACACAAGAAATACAGCAGTTGACGGAATATCTAGAGGAAAAGAAAAATGAATTGGATAACTATAAGCAAAAGATTTCACAGGTAATAGCTGGAATTATCACTTCTGCATCAGTATGTCTTTATTAGAATAGAATGTATGTACAGAATTAAAGGGTAACTTTCCAAGTTGTCTTGAATGTAAACTGAGTTGTTAGCTTCTGTAACTGTGATCTTTTTTAATTTAAATGCCATCTCTAAAGGAGAATTCAGCTACTAAAAATGGTTTTACATGGATATGTCTACTTCTAGGTCAAAGAAAGGTGGCTAAACCCCTTGAAAAAGCTGGTTGAGCAAATTAATGAGAAGTTCAGTAGCTTCTTTAGTTCTATGCAGTGTGTTGGTGAAGTTGATCTTCATGTGGAAAATGAGGTATGATTTATTTTTCACACAGAAGAATAATATGCATATTTTCACGCATCATCTTTTGCTTGTATATTGCTGGAGAAAAAAATGCCAAGTTGTAATTTGGATTGTAGGAAAGATGTTCTTTTAAAAACAACCCAAACTTTTACTGATGAACACACTTTTTTTTGTGCTAGAGTTGACTTGCCAGTCTGATTAAAGGAGAGCGAGTCTTTGTCCAGATGCATAGGACTTCAGCTCACTGACTTTTTGGAAGCTCCGTGCAACTTACAGGGCTTGATTAGAAGCTTTGTATTTACTTTAGCTGTAGCTCATATTTATGAAGTTAGTGATTTAATCCTACATTTTTAGCTAATTTGGTATTCTATTATCATTTAGTGGCTAAGTCTACAATTATTAAGTGTTGTATTGATTTGGTTCTACATGTAGTTTCTACTCAAGTCTGCTGACATTTTGTCTGGTTTGGAAGTAGCAATCATCTGGCCCCACCTGACGCCCTCAGTAACATTTATACACAGGGTTTACCTCTGCATGAGTTTAAAGCACCAGTAGTACCTTGGGGAGAAATACTCAGTGCAGTGGACTATAGAGAAATTAGGTATTTTGTTTTAAATTGATCTCTGTAATGATTTTAAGACTCATATGTAATGCATAGGCTCCATAACAGTGAAAGTTAGCATTTACACATTTTTTGCTGTTGTAAATTACTGAAGCAGCTTTTCTTAAAATATTTGAAATGGTAGTTATTACTGGGGGCAGAACAGTGACTGACAAGGCAGTTTAGGTGAACTGCATAGAAATGTTTATATACAAACTAGTATTGTGAAACAGTAGGAAATTAAAACATGGACTTTTCAGTTTGTTTGACAGTTACCTACAGAGTCAGATCTATTTTACATGAATACCGTCTTTTATCTGAAAGTAAGATGGGAGAGAGTACACAGAAAAGCAGTAAAGCAGTTTAAAAGCAAAAGGAGCCTGGACTATCTGAATACCTTCTTTGGAAGGCCTTGCTTTTCTCTTGTAAACATATCACAAATAGTTCAAGAAGTTAGCTAGTGGTACTGTGCCAATGACTAAAACTTTTTCCTCGAGGGATCAACACCTATACAGAGAAGTGGATAATCTGTTCTCAAGCTTGGATTCCTTACTGTTCTTTTCTGCAGGAGACTCTTTTGCCCTGACCTGTAGATATCATAGAATCATGTAATTGTTTGGGTTGGAAAAGACCTTAAAGATCATCTAGTTTCAAATCCCCTGCCATGGGCAGGGACACCTAGATTAGCTTCCTCAAAGCCTTGTCCAACCTGGCCTTGAACACTTCCAGGGATGTGGCATCTGCGACTTCTCTGGGCAACCTGTTCCACTGCCTCACCACCCTCAGAGAGAAGAATTTCTTCCTTAGGTCTAATCTAAATCTCCCCTCTTTCAGTTTAAAGCCATTGCCCCTTGTCCTGTCACTACACGCCCTTGTAAAAAGTCGCTTTCCAGCCTTCTTGTAGGCCTCATTTAAGTACTAGAAGGCTGCTAGAAGGTCTCCCTGGTGCTACTCTTGTCCAGGCTGAGCAACCCAAACTCTCAGCCTGTCTTCATAGGAGAGGTGCTCCAGCCCTCGAATCACCTTCGTGGCCCTCCTCTGGACTTGCTCCAACAGCTCCGTTTTGTTCTTATCCTGGTGTTGAGGGGCTCCAGAGCTAAAAGCAGTATTACGGGTGAGGTCTCATGAGATCAGAGGAGAGGGGCAAAATTGCTTCCCTCAACCTGCTGGCCACACTTCTTTGGATGCAGCCCAGGACACGGTTGGCTTTCCGGGCTGCAAACGCACATTGCTGGCTCATGTTGAGCTTCTCATCAACCAACAACCCCAAGTCCTTTTCCTCAGGGCTGTTCTCAATCCATTCCCCACCCAGCCTGTACTTGTGCTTGGGATTGCCCCGACCCATGTGCAGGACCTTGCCACTTGTTGAACTTCATGAGGTTCTCACAGGCCCACCTCTCCAGCCTGTCAAGGTTCCTCTGGATGTCATCCCTTCTCTCCGGCATGTCAACTGCACCACACAGCTTGGTTTCGTCAGCAAACTTGCTGAGGGTGCACTCGATCCCACTGTCCATCTCAACGACAGAGATGTTAAACAGCACCGGCCCCAATACTGACCCCTGAGGAGCACCACTCGTCACTGGTCTCCACTTGGACATCGAGCTGTTGAGCACAACTCTGAGTGCAACTATCCAGCCAATTCGTTATTCACTAACTCTGAGTGCAACTATCCAGCCAATTCGTTATTCACTAACTCAAAAGAAGTATCAAAGGGAGATGCTCAAGGCAGAATTATCTTTGTTAGAAATATTCCCATGACACTGAAGTTCAAGCCTCTTGTTAGTCTGCCCTGCAGAAACCTTGAGATATGATGATGTCCTTGGTGTTAGTACCTTCTGTGTGAAACACTCTACTAGGTTCTTCCTTGACACCCTAGCAGAAACTGCAGTGAACGTTCTGACTTTCCTTGGTAGCACTTGGTAACCAAAATTCAGATTACTAGCAGTGATCACCCTCACCTTCCTTGATTCCCAACAGGGAGTTTTGAGCATCATTCTTGACAGGTCCTGGGATATCTGTCAGTTACATGAACTGGCATTCTCAGTAGTCTGGCAACAAAGGCCTGACTTTCTGATACCATTGTGGCTGTGCTGAAAGGCAGATCTTTTTTACTGAAGTTTTTGCCAGCCTGTACCTTGTAAACTTCTCCGAGCCTAGTTTCAGTCTGTGCCAATGCCTCTGAAGGTGCACTGGACCTAGAGGCCTTAGGTCCTGTTTTTTCATTTCTTCTTACATGAAGTTGTTGTGTTCTTGATGTTCCAAATCCCTGTCCCTTTCCAAAGAGTATAGGAAAAGCTCTGCAATTATCTGTTAAGGAGGAAACAGGAACTAAATTGTGAACTTAAGGATACTTTTTTACTCCACTATGCTAAGTGTTCCTAGTCATAAGCAAGCCAGACTGTGAGTCTGTTGAGATTGATCCTGACAATCAAGTACCAGATTCTACTAAAATAGAGAAAGTTCATCTAAGCTATGCTGCTGTTATTGTCACTTATTAGGAGAATGTCTTACTAGTTCCCCTTAGCAAAATGCCAACTCCAGAAAGGTCATTGCAGCAATATTAATTTGTTTTGAAAGCACACCCCATGATTTTCCTTCTTAGGCTCCTGATTATCAGGCATGGCTATCAAACTACAATCTGCAAATCCAATATGCTAATTATTCTTCCGATAAGCTGCATTAAATGCCAAAGAATTTTTTCCATAGTGAGGGAGAATGAAATGGTAACGCGAATCAGCTTGTAAATAGTTTAAGTTGCATTAAGCATTGTTTTGTTCCAGTGTGTCTGTCATGATCATATGGCCATCCTTCTCAAGGCAGGTCTTCAGTTTGTTTTTGGAAGTGGCAGCCTGTTGCCTACGGGGAAAACATCGAGGGTGAGAAAGGTGACCTGTCTTCAAAATTGCAAAAAATTGGCGCTTAGCAAACATGAGTTTATAACTATGTCAGGCCATCTTCATTCTCTCCTAAAGCGTGCATCCATTTGCCTCAAGGATTCGCAGTTCCATATTTCTGTAATACTGGTATACCAGAAGCACCAGAGGTTTGTAGTACCTGAAAGCAAATACAAGACCTTATGCTTTCCAGTCCTGAGGATGTGTGTCTGCCTGCAGGTGTAGTAAAACAACAGGAACACCAAAATATGGCTTGTTCTTCTGATTTAGCAGATCGGCTAATCTGAGAGGATGTGGTACATCCTCTCTAATGTTAGATGCTATCTGGTGTGTACATTACTCATCCCAAAGCAAGACCTGAAGGTAGCAAAGAAGCTGAAGATTGTTCCTACAGACTTGAAGTTCCTTAGGCAGTTTTAAGACTTTGAGATAGTATGGCATATTTACTTCATGGTGTCTTTTGGACGTTGTTGTGGTTCATAAAAGCCAGACTTACAGTGGGACTCTGCTCTGCCAGGTCACCCAGGTTCATACGCCTTTTGATGACTGTGGTATGTGGTAATCTGAACCAAACTAGCATGTGCCAGATCCATGGGATGGTCTCCTCATTGTCTCTTTGCCACAACTGTTCTTTCTAAATCTAGAAGTAGTCTGTGAGTAACCATCAGAAATTACCTCCACTCCTTTCTTCTACACTAAGCATTACACTTACGTTATCAGAGTAACGTTAGTTGATGACCTCTCCAGGTGCAGGATTTACACTTCTGCAGTGACTATGAGTAAACCTCTTGAAACTCATATTCCTGAAACTTTTGGATCTTCCCTGTAGCTCTCATTAACTTGATAGGTGTGTATAAAGATTTTTGTCTTCTGTAGACCAAACGGTAAGCAATCAGTGTGGGCTGTCTGCACTGGGGATTGCATTCCCATTCCTGCACTGAACTTGTCTGAACTTCAGAAATATTAGCAAGTACTTCAGAGATTTATTTTTTTCCCTTGAATCATGAATGTATTTCCTTACATGTGCCTTTTTTTGAACCACATTACTTATCCCCACACCTATGCATCATTGACTCAGACTGCTGACAAGCATCCCTTTTCAGTTAAAAGGCCAGGGTCGGAACCCTTATGTGTGATTTTCCTGACTCGGTATGAGAGAGAAATTGCTGTTGTGGTGGATTTTGTAGGGGCTTTGTATCTCAATCTGCTAGTGGAGGAGAAGTGAAAGATTCAATTAGACTCCTTGAACTTGAAGAGGTTCAGATGGAATCTTAACCTACACCCAGTCACCTCACTGTTGAAGTTGATAGCGTCATGTACCCTAATGCATTTTTTCCGATGGATGGGATTGAGAGGGCCATTGCTTTCTCCTTTTTCTAGCCAAGATTTTTTTTTCTTGTTGATGTTCTTAAGGACATATATGAAACAATTCACATATTGATATTAAGTTGAACCGAAGTAGTTCATAGACCCCTATAGGACATTTGGCATAGATTTCCTTTAATTGGCATGTCATTATCAAGTAAGCTGTAGTACAGAGAAACTGAGTCTAACAGGTACTGGCTTTTATAGGAGGAGTACGACAAGTATGGGATTCGTATTAGAGTCAAATTCCACAGTAGCACAGAACTTCATGAATTGACTCCATATCATCAGAGCGGAGGTGAGAAAAGTGTTTCCACTATGTTGTACCTGATGGCTCTACAGGAACTCAACAGATGTCCTTTCAGGGTTGTAGATGAAATAAATCAGGTGAGGATCAATAATGCAGTTTATAACCTCTTACTATACAGATTCTTATGATATAGTGGAGAGAACAGACTTTTTTTTTTTCCCCCCACCCAGGGAATGGATTCAGAGAATGAGAGAAGAGTTTTTGAAATGGTTGTGAAAACGGCTTGTAAAGAAAACACGTCGCAGTACTTCTTCGTTACACCAAAGGTGTGTGGTGGAAAATGAAATTGAAAGTTTAATGGGTCGGAGGGTTGTTTTGTATGATAATATCCCTATAAATGCTGTGTAACCCTTCTCTGCTTTACCTAAGAACTTAATATTAAAGGGTAACTGTGAGATAATTTGTCCATTTTAAGGGCAGTCCTGGCAGGAAATCGGACAACTTATACCAAAGCTTATCTCATCATAAGCATATTCTGGAATTGTGGCCTCTGTGGAAATATCACAAGTTAACCACCAGTGGATGGGGGCACCATGTAACACGACTGTCAAATGTAATGCCTCTAGCTCACACAGAATTGGGATTGTAGCAGAGACCAACTTCCAAACAAGTCAGATAATGATATTAGAACAGGCTAGCGCTGCTGACATCAGAAGAATTAGGAGTCCCACATTAATGGAGGAAAACTATTTCAAGTAATAATCTGAGATTTACAATCTCAGAAAAGGTCAGTGCTACGCTCCATGGAGAATGGCTTGGAGGGGACTTTTCAGTCAAGAATGACCAGTGCTTAATTGTGCTTTTCTGTTAAAATACAAAAAAAATAGTAATTGACTTGGCGATGTGGTGACGTGATGCTGTGGCTTGAAAAGACTAGTAGGTGTGGTCACTGTTCACCTGCACCTTTAACAGAGGCTAATGTTATGTTCAACTTGATCCAAGACAGATTGAACCAGTAAAAGTTACTTGTACACCAAGGAGGCAAGCATTCAGTAATGGGCTGTATGCTTTTATTAAGATACCAGTTCTTCTGCATCCCCTACTTCTCTGTATTTTAGAAAATCTGGCTGGTATGTGCTATTCTTTTCTTTAAATAGCAGTTGAAGGACCTGAGAAAAGCCACCTACAGCATCTACCTGACTGAAAGTAGGAGGAAGGTGATGCTTGTTCTTTCTGATCTTGCAGTATACTAACCTCCACACAGTTTGGTCCTTTCCTGTCCACATTGCTTCTTTCTTGTTCTGTGTGTTATCTATCTCCTTTTGTCTTCTTGAAGTTTCTCTCCTTATCCAGTCTGCTTTTCTGTGCTCTCACCTACTTTGAGAAATAAGAGAGTGGTTTGGATGCGGAAAGAATAGACATCTCTACTAACTGTAATGCTTCCCACATACAAGGAACTGTAGAAAACGACTGTCTAGGGTTCAGAGTCTGTTTTAAAAGTTGTGCTCACTGTCAAATTACAAAGAATAGAGAATGGGGAAAATTGAGTGTGCAAAGCTAACCAGAAAGATTAGAATAAAAATGAGAAAGCAGAAGGAAGAAATTTTAGAGGCTTAAAAAAAAAAGTCCATTTAACACATGGTAAAAGGAAGATCAAGGAATGTGTTGCACTACTATTCAGCAGCAAGGGATGGTGTTATGAAGAGGTGGTTGAAGTTACTTCTTTCTACTTTTCTGTCTCTCCATGAGCTGCAAGTAGGTGATCACCACAGTTAACATGGTGAAGTTGTAATGGCCTACCACAAAGAACATTATTGAGATAGCACTTCATGTAAAGGTTTGAGCTGATGAGATAGTTTGAGTGGGCTGCATTAGAGCGTAATTAAAAGGCTGTACAGAGCAGGCTAAGGAGAAATCCAGACTCTGCAGTTCCAGTGACTTACCTGCAGTTCCTGAGCCTACGCTATATGTCATCAGTTGGTAGAAAGTGAGTATGTAATCACGTACCAGAAAGTATGACAAATTGTCAAACTAAGCTGTGGATACAGTGGGTTTACTCAGTATGTTGAATCCTCAGCTATATTTCTAAGCAAGCTACAGAGGGGAAGGGGTATAGATTAATATGCAGTAGAGTTGATTAGGAAAATTGTATTCTGTATAGTTTTCACTATCAGAATGAGCAGGTAAACTGAATATATTCCTTAGGAGTGAGTCTTGGGTTTGAAAATCAGTATTTTTAATATCAGTCTGGGCTGAAACAGATTACATTTATTAAACATGCAAATAATCGCTCTGTTGGGAGTGAATGCTTCTTTGCTGTAGAGTAAGATTAGCATTCAAAATAATCTTAGATTAGTTAACTTTATTTGAAAATGCTTGTCTGATGCATTTCAGCACAGACAAGCATAGGACTTGGTATTAAATACCAAGTGAGAAAAATCAACAACAGCATCCGGCCTAAGGCACAAATAGCTAAATGACTGGGGAAAGAGAAGTTACTGTGGGTGACAAGTTGAGCATCAGTTGCAAGTACATTGTTAAAAGTCATCCTGAGCACTGCCAATAACCCTATAGCTTGCGTGAGTCTGCTGGGCTGGTGCCTGACAAGATTTGTACTACGGGAAGTGTCCAGCCTTGGCTGTTACACTTCAGAAGTCGTACAGTGGCTGGAGTCACCCCAGAAGACAGCAGTGCAACTTTTAAGAAGTTTTGAAGGTTTCGAATTTCCACTAATGGAGATGGCTTAGCTCAGAGGAGCATGAGGCCGAAGAGAAACATAATAATTGTGCCCAAGTAACTGTACCTCCTGCCCTGCCCTGGCAAAAAAGGAAAAACAGCCAATACTCTCTGCCTGTTGTGGATACAGCAAAAAAGTAATGACCTCGTTTGCCGCAAGAAGGGTGCAGATTAGAGACGAAGATTTTCTTGTAGTAAGAACAGAAGCATGGAAATTGCTTGAAGAATGAGTGGAGTCTCTTTGGGGGGTTTCTAGGAACAAATATACCTCATCTGTCACAAAGGCTATAATCCTCCCATATTGACCTTTTGAGATGTAAGGCTTTATGTAGACCTATTCACCTTTTTTAGATAATGGGGAACATCTCTTTGAGCTATTTTGACTTTGGGTTTTGTATTTTTCAGCTCCTGCAGAATCTCACTTACAATGACAAGATGACGGTGTTATTTGTCTACAATGGCCCTTTGATGTTGGAGGCAAACAAATGGAGCTTAAAGTCTTTCTGTAGGCGGCGGCGACGACTTGGAAGGATGGATGAACAGTGATATATATATATATATATATGTAAAATATATAGTGGTTTTGTAGAACCTTTTGGAACATCTGGCTTTCAAGACATCAGAAATTGATGCGAAGAATTGACTGCAAAGAATTGATGATAAAAAACTTTGATTCTTAAACTTGTGTAAAAGTGTAACAGATTTCAAGTGCATGATTTTTTTTCAAATCTTTTCTCCAGAGACTCTACTTTTTCTCAATGGTAGTTTTAAATAAAAAGGAAGTTTCTTATGTTTTGCTATTTTATCAGTAATGTAGCATCAGAAGCATAGTTAATTTTTCTAGATTATACTGGACTAATTCTATGTCTAGTTTTGTTTTGTTTCAAAATATTGGAATTTGCTTTTGGTAAATAATGTTTCCCTAACACAGTTAAGGATGTTATCCAAACTTGCTATTGAAATGGAAACTTTTTGACTGAGTGAAGATGTATAGGAAGAAAATGGACTGCAAGTAGCTGTGCTACTTACAGAAAGCTTTTTTTTTTGTGAAAATACACCTGAAATTAATATAACGAATATACTATTGTTAGAGTAATATACTTTTTCATTGTTATTTAATATTTTTGAGCTAACGCTCCGTTTGATATTCCTGGAAGGATGAGGTCTTTATTTTTCTAGCAAGTCTCTCTTTGCAAGGAGACTGACAAAGAGCCAGGTCTTTTTGAAACAACAAGCTAGCGAGTTTGCAGAAGTAAAGCTAAGCAATTTGTAACTTTTTGCTGTTTTTTCAAGTTAAATTTGGTATGGTTTTGGTGGTAGATGGAGAAAATAGTCCCATTGATTTCACAGTTGAAACCAGGAGGCTTTTCACAAGACTTCAGCTGCATTGAAGTGATTGTATACACAATGGCTTTTCAATAGATAGCCATAAAATTAATTAGTGGGGTTTTGGCCGTAGCCATTAAGCATTTGAAAATACATGTTATCAACAGCATGCTGAATACCTAAAATAAAGTCCCAGTTATTTAGTTAACTATTAAAAAGAAAAATAATACTGAAATTGTGAAGAGTGTGATTTGTAAAGAACTGGAAACTACGATAGGTATGTAAAATGTACGTAAAAATGATTGAGTGCCAGGACACCTTCTGAAAATATGCAGTGTCCTTGTTGTCACAAGGGGAGTAGCTTTCAACAGAATTTTATACAAAATTTGGTGTCCATTTGAATTTATTGGAGTGGGAGTTATTCTTAACAGCGTCCTGTCAGTCAGCTTCACCAGTAGCTTGACTTATCAGACTTTTTACACTAGAACATTAGAAATAGAATAACCCACTGCAAAGCGTAAACTAGGATCTGAAAGGTTTTGGGTATTGAAAGTTAAGTACTGTAATTTTTGTTTTGAGTAGACAAGCCTTTAAGGGAATGGAGAACTACAAATTCTTATATTGCAGGCCACTGTTGATCAATGGGGAGCTCTGTCCGACTGTGAAATGAGTTCCTGGAATAAGTTCCTTGAGATTAGTGTCCATACACCAATATTCGACAGAAGAACTAAAGGAGTGTGGAAACTCGGGCTGTAGACCAGGGATTGAGTGGGCCAAGCAGAGTATCCTCAGCTTAATTGAGGCAACATGCCTGTCTGTCCACTGTATTGCAAGATCTGGGTTTTAAATGTATTCTTTCATCTTCAAAATACTTGGCTTCTCATAATCCTGAACTTTTCAGGTTCATTCTTCTTTTTTTTCAATTGAATGGAAAAACACACATTCTGTTTAGTCTCTGAGGATCACTATACAAAAAGTGCAGATTGTTTTCAGTGTCTAAATAAGTGAAGCTACTTTCAGGAACGTGTGTTAGGCCTCAATTCTTCTATGGCTAGACAGCACTATCTATTCTTAATGCTGTCATCTTAGAACTTTGTGGGATTTCTTCCTAGAGTTCAGTTCCTTTCTCATATTTCAGACTGAGGTATGAAATGCACGTCTGACTTATTTCAAGAGGATGGCACTTCAGATCCTCTCTCAAAAATTATGTCTTCTGGACACGTGCCTGCTGTACTGCACAAGTGAAGAGGATGATGGGCTTGTAGGTGTTTGCTTTTTCCTTGGAGGTCTGTCAGCTATTGACCAGAGGTCCTCATTTCGACGTGTCTGGCTGCAATCTTAATATGACACTGCCATTCATACTAACTTACCCCAGACAGTGTAATGAGCTGCAAAACGGTACCACTGTCATGTTACTGACCAATAGAGCTCCACTGTCTGGCAGCTCTGCCAGCTAAACCCTTTAAAAAAGAACTGTAAAACCAACTTTGTATATAAAAGCACCCATTGCTATTTGCAAAGGGGCTCTGCGCCATAACTGCGTGCCTTCCATACACATGTTCCCGTTAGTAACCCGATAATTCGCGTGACAGGTGCATCTCGCGCACCTACAGAGACCTTCTGGCTTAAAAGGAAGTCTCTTGAACTGGATAGTGTGTCCAGCCATGAGTTGAATCCACACTGAGTCACTTAGCGTAGCTGCAGCGTTATTCAGCATTCCCTACTAGCGCACAGGGCCCTTTTGTGCTTCCAGCTTTCTTGCTGTGACACTGCTATTCAGCTCCTCAGGGGCTCTTGCTGTAAAAACCTGTGGAATTAATCTCAATGTAACTTTGAGGAGGGGAGGATGAGTGGG